AGTTTATCAAAATATACTCAATGCATGATTATCTGTTCTAATTATTTATGTCTATCCCTAAAAAACTAACAACTTGCAAAGTAGTTAAAAAGGAGAATGATCCTATAAAAAAAAAGAGAGAGAGAAAAAAATTGTTGAGTACCTACTCCACTGATGCCAACTGGGCCTAGTAACCTGGGACCTTCATCACCAATGTTGGCCTTCGCATCAAACAGCTTAGTAAGTATCAAGAGTGTGCCAATAAAGTTCCTGAAGTCTAAGTAACCGAGCCCTTATATCACCAATATGAGGGTTCACGTCAAAATGACTTAAGAAGTATTTAAGAAGAAAGGCAATTTATGAATAGTTAAGGATGGTGACCCCATTGCACTAACTCAAAAAAAGAAACAAGTAAGGTCTAAGGGTTTAAACAAATTTATTTTATAGATAAGTGCTCAATCAAAATTTAATTCACTCCCTGTGGTGGTACTAGTATAATTATTAGCTTTCTCTCTCATATTGAAGCTTTGTAGGTTGGTTATACATTAAGTTTTACTAGTACTTTGAGTAAAGTTTCTATATTTGACATATTTATTTAAGGAATAAGGCTAAATGCAAAAGTATTTGCTTGAGGACAAGCAACAAGCTAAGTGTGGGTAAATTTGATAAGTGCATATTTTATAATTAAATAGGTATAGATTTTAGTTTGAATTTGATTATATTTATTAAGATTCCATATCTATTTAATTGATATTTATATATATTTTCCCTCATCATTTAATTATAAGATAAAAAGAAATTTTAATACAAAATCCACTCATATCTTTTTATCTTTATATTTTGCAGAGAAAAAGAATAAACCAAATAGAAGAAAAGAAGGAAAAGAGAATATATATATATATATATATATATTAAAGTCTCGCATCGACAAGGAAAGAAGAAGGATCTTCTACTTTAACTATAAATACTCCCTCCATCAAGAGGGAAGGCATCCAATCATTTATCTGAGTACATCAAGAATTTTCTCTGAGATATTTGGAGCTCATAGAAGCTTTCTGAAGGCTGAAACCAAAATTATTGAGGAGTTTTATAAATTATAATTATTTCTTTTTTACTCCTTAATTTTCTCTGTGATCATTTTTCATGATTGGAGATTTTAGAATGATTTTATTTGATTTTATTATGTGTTTCTAAATTACCCAATTGGAGAAAGGATATAGCCTAATTGGGGAGTTAGTTTTTTATTTCCTTTGTTTTGACTCTTTGCATTTATATTTATAAATTTTTTTTCAATTATATTTATTTTCCTTGTTCTTCATATTGATTTAATGATTGGCCACCATTTAATCAAATCTATGGGTAATCTTGATGGACTGGGAAGTGAAGAGAGAACCTAGACATAAAGAACTAAACATAAATAACTAGGCTAGGAATAGTTCTCGAAATTTGTGGTGACTTAAAATATAACTTCATGATTTAATTAGTTACTTGGGTATCATGGGAATGAATTCAACACTAATTAAAAAGGGACTAATAATTTAGGAGAATACTAGAAAACTTTAGAAATAATTGTCACTATAATTGATCAGAGTCAATTCAAAGGGCAGAAACTAGTAACCTATAGGGTGAATTCTAAACCCAACGCTTCAAGTGATTGCATTTTTATCATCATTATTTTCTTGATTTACTTTCATTCTTTATATTTTCATCAAATTTATCCATTTTATCTATTTTTCTTGAACTATTAATTATTTAAATTAGTAAAAGTATAACTTCCCTATGAGTTCGACACCTGGAATACTTTGGATAATTTATTACTGTGATTTTGTACACTTGCGAGAGCGATCAGGGTTCTTCTAAGCAACTATCTAGGCAGGTGAAATTTTAAAATATCTTTTATATATTTTGGGTTACTCTAGCAAGCAGCATTAAATAATCTATAACTTGAAGTGGCGATGTTGGCAAAGTAATTTAAGATGTGTTTGATTTTTCTTGCGTCGTTTTTTCTTGCATAGGACTTTAAACTATTTTGACGTTTTCTTTTTTTTTCTTGTATAGGTGTCCTCATATTAGAGAAGTACTTTTGTTAAATGAATGGTTGACTACTAAATGTGATATATCCTCTAATGAAAGAACATAAATTAACCAATAAAAGTTGGGTCTAATGAAAGGAGCGAGCCCCTCCTCACAAGTGATGAACCAATATTGGAATCTTAGTTGAGAGAGATACCCACATTTAGTTCCTGTCTCAAACAAAATTGCTTTTAATGAGAAGATATCTGTGAGCAATCCAAAAAAAGAGCATAAATTAGCAAAACCAAAATGTTATGAATAAATTTTATACTATTTGTTTTTAAATTATGAAACGATTTATTTTCAATAGCATACGAGTATAGTATAGTTTTATAATTAAAATATTGTGCGTGCATGTGTATGTGTTGTAAAATTATTTTTAATGATGCAAAATACTAAAATAATATGAATCTTATAAATATAACAATATTTTTAAAATATTGTGTGTGTGTGTGTGTTTTGCAAAATTATATACGGGTTATACTTTACATAAAAGTTTTTGAAATAAAAAATTAAAAATGGATGTAGATGTGCACCTTCTAATGTGACCCTTGAAATGTATGGTAGGAAGAATGGGAATGATTGTCCAGTTAAAAACAAAATAATAATAACAAGTTGTTGACTTCGGAGGTGTTTGGGTGTGTTTTACCAAAACCATAGTTTTGGTTCAAATAATTGATTATACTAGTTTTGGTTCGAATAATTGATTATACATCAATATCCAAACAGGCACTTTGAGTAGTCAACAATCAATTATAAAACGTGATGCATCAGCAAAAGAAATTAGGTTAATTATAAATAAAGTCGGGAATAAGAGCCAGGCCTGGAGGCCCTATTTAAATAAAGATTTGAGTTTTAAAAATTATTTTTTTAAGGAACTGGGCTTGAGGGTTTAGCCCTAATAAGCCCTGTGAAAAAAGGCTCAGGCCCGGGCGGCCCTTCAAGCTCTGACAAGTCTGCTTATCTTATATATATACGCATACATACATATATTTGATTGATAATAATACAATTTAATTAATATTTATTGTAGGTGATGAAGAAGAAGTTGTAAAGATAATTGACATTAAATATCCATCTCCATGTTTAATAAGTGCATTTACATTCGAGGAATCTAATATTTTATTTGTAGATGATGAGGATGAGGATGAGGATGATTTGGATTTTGGTTGATGAATATCTGTTGTTTAGATTTCTAAATATGTTGTTTAATTTTTAAAATATTTTGATGATTTTAAGTTTTTTTAATTTTAAAATATTTTAATTAATTAATAATTTTATTTTAATTTTTTAGAATAGGGCTTCCAGGCCTAGCCCTAAGCCCTTTATACAAAGGCCAGACCTTAAAAAAGGGGTTAAAATTGAAGAATCAGGCTCAAGGGCCTATGTCTTTAAGGGCCAGACCCGCCCGTATTTCCAACTATAGCTATAAATATCGAAGTGGCGAATATATATATATAAGGTTTGAGAATAATTTTTGGATGGAAATGTTAGTCAAAAATTTAAATCAATTTTTTTTCACTTTAAGAGACCTAAATGAGAACAAATGAAATTGATGAAAATATAGGTTTTTTATATATTGATCATATTTTTAATACTAATTAAGTTCCTTAAATTTTTTAGGCCCTTTTATGTAATTTTTTTTATCAACTAATGGTTTTCCTTCAAAATATTACATCACCCAAATTTAATATTCTTTGCATGCTGTAGTGTTAGTTGCAAAATAAAAAATGATAGAACAGGACCAACATACAACAAAAATGCTTATTTGAAAGATATTGCATATATGTCCTATTAATGTGCTACAAAAAGAGCTACATAACAATAATGGAGAGATGAGAGAAAAAATTCCTCTAATAATTTGGAGGTTCATTCCTTTCGTTTTTAATACAAAGTTGCAAAATATCAAAATTCTAAAAATTATAGAGAAGGACCAAAAAAATTATAAAGAATGACCTAAAAAATTTAAGAAAGTTAATAAATATTAAAAACATAATTGATATATAAAAATTTACAAGTTAGCTATAAATTTTTGGAAAAAAAATTTCAGTTGTTAATATCTAAAAAATAACTTATAAATTTTGGATGAATATTTATCAATAATAATATTTAAATTATTAATTATTAAAATATTTAATATTTGAATAATATTTATTAAATTTATTTTAGCAAGAGGTGCCCAATACTTCTAGAAAAAAACTTTTGAGTGCCCAATACTTCTAGAAAAAGATTTCAAGGGCAAATTAGCATAAAGGACGTGGTCAAAGTCCTACTTGTCAATGTATGTGGACCTCACACACATATCACATTAGTAGAAAATAGCAAAGTTAATGGACAACTAACAAAAAGGTTTTTTTATCCTCGAAGAAATAGTTCAAGGAGAATATTAAATTACACCATTTATCAGTATAAGATGCCTAGTGCTTCTTAAAAAATGATCAAAGGTAAAAATAAACTTTAACCCTACATTTTATCTTGGCAATGACAAGATTTTTGTTTTCTATCACATATTTCAAAATTGTTGGAAAGCTTAATCTTAATTTGTGAACTAAGTAGAATTCTTCTATACTCCACCATCTTCCTCTTTAATGTTATTCTTGAGCAACAAATGAGGAAATCATCATGCAAGCATAATAAGTGGATAATTGACTAATCTGGCTATTTTATTTCTTGATTTACTCAAGGATGAGTAAAAGTCTAATGAACTATTTGGTAGAGTGTAATTGGGTTTGGAGAAGTGGAAATGAAAGTAGAATGAAAAAGAGTGTGTTTGATAGAAAGGATCTCACTTCATGGAATTGGGTTCCATAAACAAGGGTGGAAATGAGTTCCAACTCTATACCTAAAGAAATCACTTCCCCCTTCACTTTTTTTTCTCGTTTTCTATTTTTACCCTCAACTCTCTCACCTTCCTCCTTCCATGTTCGTCCTAAACTTTTTCACCAACAATGTTCATTAATGGTGGCCGCATCCAAACCACTGGTGGCAACGGCGACCGCTACTGCGAGGGTGAGCCAAGATGAGTAACCACTTGAAGTTGAATAACTCCATTTAATTGGACCAAAACAAAGAGGGCAAGCCAAGATGATGAAGTATGAAATGGAGAAGAATAGAGATGAAGTGGAAAAGCTTCAACTTAGGGCAAATTGTTATTTAAACTTTCTTTGGAGTCTCACAGAGCTTTTTCATCTTCAATCTAAGGTCTATCAAGCACCACTTTGGATGCGGATCTAGAGCTCCAATTCCAAGCCCTCAAATCAATCCAATCCTTAGTAGGACTTGCACATAAAGATCAAGAATCCAAACTTGCTCTTGGCAATGATGTCTTTACCATATTCGATTCTCTCAAGGTCAAATCAAATCCATCATTGAAGCAAGCCCTGCAAGTGAAGATCAGAATACAAACCTAAACTTTCTTTTCTTCTTCTTTTTTTTTTTTGATTAAGGTACAAATTTATCCTCAAAGTTTCCATCTAAGTGCACCTCATATCCTCAAGTTTTTTTTTTTTTAACGCAATTTCACTCCCAACATTTTTTATTTTGATACAATGTCACTCTACTGTGTCAGTCTTTGACTACTTTGGCCATGAGTTTGACCTTGAATTACTGAGTTGGTAGCCACCTAGAATATTTTTAAAATTAAAAATTAAAAAAAAAATCTATTCAGCTCCTACTCCTCATCTTCTCTCCCTCTTCCTAGTCTTCTCCGCCTTCTCCTTCCTCTCTTCTCCAATTGAGCCAACCACCTTCTCATCTTCTTCGACTTCTACTTCCTCTACTCTTTGAACCCATAGTGTGGGAGACAATAGATGATGCCATGGGAGACCACGAAAGAGTTCGTCTTCTCTTTCCTCTTCCCCGTTCCTCATATTCTTTGCCTTCTCCTTCCTTAGATCTGGGACTCATTCTCGATCTGTTTAAAGGGATTCTGAAGTGGAAGACTGCAAACGGGGTTTGCTCGTCTTTGACTAGATCTATGGGTGGGGATTCTTGGTCTTATACGGTGAAGAAATTCGAAGCCTTGAATCGAGATCTCTCACTTTTGCAACCCTCTGAATTTCTAACCCATGTTTCTCCCTCTTTGACTCGCCTTGCCAACAACAACTCAAGACTGAGAAGGAAAGATAAAGGTGTCTTAAGCTTGAGTGGTGTGATAGAGATAGAGGAAATGATGAGTCGAATCAAATGTAGATCAAAGGAGGTAACTAAGGTACGACGAAGATAGATAAAAAATTTCTAGAAATTTTATGGTTTCTTTGATCATTTCAAAAATTTCTGGGTTCTAAAATGTCTCGAAATTGTTTATTTTGAAATCGTTCTTTGATTGTTCTTGGTTTGATCGACAATAATTTCTGGGTTCGATCAACACTGATGATCGTTCTTTGATTGTTCTTGCCTCGTGTTCTTTGATTTTTCTGAACCGTTTTTGGTTCTTGGACGATTAATGTTGATATCTGGGTTCATTAATTAAGTCTTTTGGGTTCAAATATTTTATTTGGCTTTGATTGTTCTTGCATTGTGTCTTTAATTTGCTAGGTTTGACTGTACTAGATTATTTGCTTCTGGGGAGGAAGATGAAAAGGAATTGTTCTGGTTTGATTCAACTTTTGACGTGGACTTCTACAAGGCTGTCCAACACGGAACTTAACAATTAAATTTAATTTAATAGGTTAACAGTCAACTAATGACCAAGGTGACATTATAGCATATTGAAAAATGTTGGGGCGAGGTTGCACCAAAAAACTTGAAGATATAAGGTGCACTTAGGGGGAAACTTTAAGGATAAATTTGTAACTTAATCATTTTTTTTTTAATTTCATGGATAGTATGGTCTTTTCAAAATATAAATACATACATTAAATGAAATTTTGATTCCATTTTCATCTACCTATCAAACATACTTTTAAATCATACCTCCACTTCCACTTCTATTTATGCCCAGTCTTTTGTAATGGTCACAAGTAACCTTCCCTTTCTGGATCTTTTGAGTTGTATCGCCACCCTTGCTTACAAGTGCAGTAGAATATAGAGAAGAAGATGGAGTAGAAATAGTTCCAAAAATTATTCCCTTGCATCTGCAAGACTCACAACATACCTCAGAAAAAACTTGCCTGGTTGATAGGAGTGGTGTACGGCTCAGAATCCTACCAACAAGAAATAGAAACACACGTGCATTCTCAATCTTCTCTTTATAACTCGTAGCATCATTGCTAATTGACCATTTTACTTCCATCGTTAAATCCAGCTCTTGCCAAATGGTCTTTAAATCGAACTAGATTGCAGTGATATTGCATTCACCTTGTTGTAGTGTCCAAGCCTTTGTTTTAAGCTCGTACAGCCTTGCCAAGTCCTTCCCATCATAGTATGAGTCTTGTAGCTGGTCAACATATGTTTCCCATGTCAACAAAGGAGTTACCAAAGTTATAAGGAAACTAACTTCATTAGCGCCAACTCATAGTCTTTGTGTGTACTTTTAAAACTTTAGGGGCTAACCTAGTAGATGAATTAAACTAATAAAGAGACTAGGAACAATGAAATAAAACTATAGGGACTACAAACAAAACACAATCAAAATATCCCTGTAGTTGTATTTTTCTTTAAATATTTTTTACTTTTTATAACTTTTCAAAATAAAAAATTCACGTGGCAGACCTGTGTTCTTTTTGTTGGAAAATATAGTAGATAATCTGGTCCAAGTATGCTCAAAGATGCTGTTCTTACGAGTTATTCTGCTTTACAAGTTGAAAGTGACAATTCTCCAAGATTAAATGAACATTTCTTGCAGAAAATAGGGTGACAGAATAATAGAATTACACAAATGAGACAAAAGAACTCCATAGATGGAAGAGAAATACTTGAAAACTCAAGAACAATGTGTTAGAATACTCCTCTTCTTGGTCTATTTGACTTACCCAAATTCTCATCTTAGCATCTATTCACTAAGGTTTCCTGATCAAACTGGGATAGTATGAGGCATCTTTTGATGACACACACATACATAACTTTACAACACTTTTCCAAGCGTTGTTTCAAAAAAAAACAAAGAGAGAGAGAGATAATATGAAGAGAATTTCCACCAGTAGTGTGCGAGTGGATAAAGAAAATGAGAAGTACTTGTTGGTGAAGACTCTTTATTTTGTTTTAAATAACATCATTCGCCGTACACAGTAAGTTCCTAAATTAAAGGGCCAAGTCATTTTCCCCCGAAAGACAAACAAAAAAGTCCCCTTTTCAAGTTTTAACTATGACGAAGGAGAGAAGACTTCATAGAATATATAGGAGGAGTCAATTTATATGTCGATATTGATGGAGAAGTCAGTGGTTCAGTCCACATCATCCATCAACGTGTTATTCAAGGTATAGTTTCGTCCAATGAAATTATTGAATGCATCAAACAACCAATAATAATATTCCAAATTTCTCAATGAATTACAACCAAATCAAGAATATTTTTCTATGTATAATTACTGGCTCAACGACGTCTATTGTGCGCATGCAGTTCGGTGCAATTATAACGGTAATATAAGCTAAAATAAAAGTATTTATTCAATGATCAATGTTTGGACTAAATTATAAATAAGACAATTGCAAATAACTGCAAATTCAAAAGTCTTCATTGTATATAAGATATTTAAATTTTAAATACAAATGAAATTATTATTTATTTCTGTCTAAATCAATATTTGTAATCTCATTTTTCCACAAAAAAATAGCTACTTATCATTTAATTAAATTTTGGAATGAATGTCATTTTTCCAAACACGATGTTTTCAATTTTTTAAGTTATTACCTATATTTCATTTTTCTTCTTTAACATAATTTTCCTTATATTCAAAAAATGTCAATTTTCCGTAAAAATTGTGGAACAGAAAGTGTCCGAATACATTATTCTGTCCCTCGGCCTCCGTTTCTCCCTTGGTCAACTGTTACTCATTATTTGCTCTTCCATATGACAAAAAGTAATTAAGAGAACCGCGTGATCTTGAACCATGACCGTGTTTTAAGGAAATAGGATAAGTGAAGGATTTCGTTCTAAAGGACACCTAAATTGAGAGTAGAGATACTAATAAACTTCTCAACAATCTTCTTCTTAATATAAACAATTATTAAATCAATGAGAAAATTCTTTCCTATTTTATTTTGAAGTGGTGTCACATTAGTTGTTGATTTTGGGATAATTAGTGAAAGTGAATTATAGGACAAAATCTATACTTTTTCAAACTTTACTTTTGGGATAGTCATAGTAGACATGTTCTAAAAAATTGGATCCTTTTTACGTCGAGCTCATGATCTTAGAATTTATACACGAATTAATTTTTTTTCTTGGTCAAAAGAAAGTTAATCTGAAGAGAAAAAATTTCTCAACAAAATGATACAAATCACCATAATCACTTGAATGCATCTTTAGAATGTCACAATATTTTCTAATAAGGTAGCGTATTATTTTTCAATACTAGAATTAGAGTATCTAGTTAATTTATATTTATTGAGGAAAGTTCTATATGTAAATTGCAATAATTTTTTTCAAAAAAATAAATGATCCATATAATTGAATGGTAAAACTAAGAGTGTCTCCTTTTCCCTTACTCTACATTTTCCTTGATCAGTGCTAGGTCAAAATTTTTTAATGGCTCAAATTTAATATTTGATAAAATAATAATAATAATAATTTTATATGAATATATAAATAAAATATTATATTTTTAAATTTTTTAGATCAAATTTAATAATTCAAATTTATTTATATATTTTTATGTAAAATTAAAATAATAATTTTATCAAATATTAAATTAGAACCGTTGAGATTTTGATTCAAGGATGATGAGAAAAAAGGAGGGAAATGAAAGAAAAGAAAAGGAGAGACTCCTAGTTTTAACTGCCAACACGCGATGTTTATATAGCTATTTCAAACTAAGATATATATCTAATAATATATAGCAAACTAGCTAAGATATTTGAAATTTCAGATCAATACAAAAGCATATTATTTTCCAATGAAAATGCTGTCCAGAAAATAAATTAAAGCTTACTGGAAACATGCAAGGACGTGAAAGATCATGCAAAGTTAAACATCATTCTCTTGCTTTTCATTTATATATTCATATTATTCATCAAACACCATGACACTACATACTTTCATTATGACCTTAATTAATGACAAGATTCAATTCCATTTACTTGTCCATATCCATTACTCAGATTACATAACCAGACGAGCACTATCCATTGTTTGTTGTTGTGAGATGTGTTTGATGAAGAAATGAGGGATGAGGAAATGAGAGGCAATGGGGAGGTATTTATAGGGATTTTCATGCGGAAAATTGGCATGTTTATTTTAGCTAAGTTTTTTGTTGGCAGCTAGGATGGTGGAAATTTTAAAATTAACTTTTATAGATTTTGGGTCACTTTAGCAAGCAGCATTAAATAAACTACAACTTAAACCAATGAGGTTGGCAAATGGTTTGTTTGATTTTTTTTCTTTATTTGGTTTCCCGCATAGGTTTTTGTTCTATTTTGACTTTGTTTTCTTACTGCACCCATGTGTTTTCCTGTAGAAAACAATCTTATTTAAATATACATTCGCGCACTAAATGTGATATGTCCTTTAATAAAAGACCATAAATTTTAATAAAAAAGTAATGTCAAATTTTGAACTATTTGTTTTTTAATTATGAAAAAGGATTAATGAGCAAATAAGACTCTCAACTTCTAGTAAAAAATTGTCCTGAATCCTGAACTCTTATAAAATGTAAAATAAACCTTAAACTTTTAAATTCATAGTAAAATAAACCCTGATCGTTAACTTTTTTAACATCATTATTGTCCATGCGAGTACTGTAACAATCAAGGTTAAATTTGTAGAAAAATAAACCCTAAACAGTAATTGTATGGACTATAACGGTATTAAAAAATTAACAGTCAGTGTTTATTTTGCTATGAATTTAAAAGTTTAGATTTTACTTTATATATTTTAAAAGTTTTGGATCTAAGGTGATTTTTGATTCTTTAGTTCAGGGTCCTATTTGCTTATTAACCCTTATGAAAAGTATATGATTTATTTTCAATAATATACTAGTATAGTGTTTTATAATTAAAATATTGTGCGTGCATTTGTATTGTAAAATTATTTTAAAACAATGTTTTTTAAAAGGGTAAAAGAGCGAATTGGTACCTAAACTATAAGTTTAGGAATATTTGATATCTTAAACACATTTTTGATATAATATTCCTCTTCAACTTTTAAAAATTGTACAATCTAGCCCTATCATTAATAAAAAGTTAACTTTGACTGTTAGTTGATCAAAAATGACAAAAAAAACCCTAAAAATTGTAGAAAAAAACTAAGAAATTATAGTAAAGAGCACAAAAATTACAGACAATTAATGACCTAAAAAATATATAAAAGGACCAAAAAAATTTTATTGATTCTTTCCTATCATTTTCTCGTCGACTAACAGTTAAAATTGACTTTTGTTAATGGTATGAGCCAGATTGTATTGTTTTCAAAAGTTGAAGAGAACATTGTAATAAAAATGAGTTTAAGAATCCCAAATGTTCATGGATTTATAGTTCAAGGACCAATTTACTCTTTTACCTTTTTTGAAATATTGTGTGTTTATGAGTGTTTTTTATTTTTCTTTTTTGTTTTTTTGTTTTGCAAAACTACATACAGGTTATACTTTATATAGAAGTTTTCGAAATAAAAATACAGATGTGGATGTGAACCCTTTAATGTGACTCCTGA